CCTGGGCATCTCCTGATGGGCCCTGCTTGCTCACAGGGGAGTGAGACTGTCCCACAGGGTTGGGTTTCTCTGTTCTGTTTCTTCTAGTTTTATTTGCCCACTTTGAAAAGGAAGTGGCTGGAATCTGCATCAGAATTGGTGTTCACTACCTCGTGGATCAAAGGACAATTGGAAATCCATGCAAAGTCTTTTCTTATTCAATGCCTCACTGCCCCCATATTCTACAAACAGAAAAAAAAAAATCAGAGTCAGTGACTCACCCAAGGTCACAGGCACCCAGCAGGAGAGTGCTGGGAAGACCCTGGGAAATCAGCAGGAATCTCCACAGTGTGCTGAGGTCTGTCTCCTGGGCTTCGCCAGCAGGAAAATGTCTGGGCCTCATCTCTCTGTCCATCAGGCCCTATCCATTCACGGTGTGCCTGCAGGCCAGGGAAAGACAAGAGATGCTGAAGACACCGTGTTTTTAGTGCAGCAGCGGGACAGCCCCTGCTCATCAGGTGCCACCCAGGAGCTGTGCCAGGCACCCTACATAAGTGACCCCACACCATCCCTGGAGGGGATCTGAGGAGGTCCCAGAGAGGACTCATCACAGGACAATGGCATCCTTGACAAATATCATAAAAAAGGGTTTCACGAAATGTCATACAGAGGCAGAAGCAGAGATTTATCAGGAAATCCAGGAGCTCACGTTCAAGGGAGAATGCGGGCCATCTCCAGCGGGAGACATACTTTTGGGGTCTGGGGCTCTTCTTTTAAAAGAACCCTGATGGGGGGTGAGCACAGGAAGGTGTGCRGGGACGACATCAGCCTCGCCATCCCAGATGGTTTGTGGTGGTYGGTGACTCCGTATCCTCAGGTTGAAGTCTTCTCCGCTGTCTGATCAGTAGACCATGTGGCCAAGTCCCCTGGGGGATAGGATTTGCTCAGGCTGTTCTAAAACACACAGAGCTGTAGCCKTGGACTAATTAACAGTGCGCAGGGCGGTTTCCATAGGCAGGTGAGTTTGTGAATGAAGATGTGTAGGTTTTCCAGAGAGTCCAGAGGGCCAGGCCTGGGGAGGGGGGTGAAGGGGTGGGCAACCTCGGCACAAGCTTTGAGGTTAAAGTCACGGCCTCCTTTCCCTTCATCTCCTTTCTGCCTATCTTTTGCTTCTTGTCTCCTCCCTCAATGTGATCCCCACCACAACGTGAGCTTCAAAGTGGCTAAATAACTCGCCCAAGATCACTCTGACAAGAGGAGGCTGGGCAGGAGTCCAAAACACACTTTATCTGAAAGACACAAGAAACCATGAGAAAGAAACGGCTGTRTTGGCCCTTATCAGCCGCGGGCTTTACCACCAGCTGATGGAGAGAGTTTCTGCGCAGAGCTTGGGCTCAGAAGCAACTTGAGGACAAGCAGCAAGTTTGGTGGCAGGTGCTTGTGATAGGAGGAAGTGGCACACATGTGATTCAGTTCACTCCCTGAGCACCTACTGTGTGCCAGGCTCAGGACAAGGCACTCCAGAGGAGAAACCTTCCCAGGGCTTATAGTCTAGGTGGTGGTGGGTACAAATAAATAGGTCAGGTAATCTTTTCAGATACTGAGAAGTGCTATGGAAACAATAAAATAGGATGGTACAAGTGTCTCGAGAACYGTGTTGCAGTTTCTTAAAAAGTTAAACATATGCTGGGCACTGTGGCACACGCCTGTGAACCCAGCAGCTCAGGAGGCTGTGGCAGGAGGACTGTGAGTTCAAAGCCAGCCTCAGCAACAGCAAGGTGCTAAGCAACGCAGTGAAACCCTGTCTCAAAATAAAATTCAAAATAGGGCTGGGGATGTGGCCCCTGACTTCAATCCCCGGTACAACTCCCCAAAAAATAAGTTAAAATATACTGCCATATGATCTGCCATTTCACTTCTAGGTATTTATCCAAGAAGTTGTGCAAGCCAGGCACAGTGACACATACCTATAATACCAGAGACTCAGAAGACTGAGGCAGGAGGATCTCAAGTTCAAGGTCAGGGGCTGGGGATGTGGCTCAAG